TAGTGGAAGCTAAAACCCTGGGTTCCTTTAAATCAGAGCTAGATAAGATTTTAACAACTCTGAGCTATTAGTTAAGTTCTCCCCAAACGAGCTTGATGGGCCGAATGGCCTCCTCTCGTTTGTAAATTTCTTATGTTCTTATGTAATCCTTAGCTAGGTCATCTCCATTCATTATCCAAATTTTGATCTTCTCAACTATCTGCTACCAGATTATACACATGAACGCATCTTGGCGAGACGGACAATCCCCAGAGTGGCATCTGAGAGACACAGGTTTAGCAAACCAGTAGCACCATCTCTGGTAAGGTGCTGCATGAACCTCCAGAATAAAGTATGAAGTCCCATAAGGATCAGTATCAGGCCTCTCACTGGTTATTTGGCATGAACTGCCGTTTGGTGATGTCAGAGGACAAAGGTGTTTTTTATGATTGGGCAATTAATTGATTAAATATTGTATCTTGATTATGAACATTCATATCATCATCTATTTGAATATTGTATTATGATATAGCCTGAACACTTGTTTTTTTGAATAATTAACAGTAATAATGCACAATTATCACACAATTTCCAACGTGGTATGAGCTTGTGGACATAATTTATCATTATCCCAGACGAATGCTCCATAACTATTAGTAAAATGATTTGGTCGTCATTCCATGTATGAATTTTAAAATATTACGATAAACAACGATATTGGGAAAATCTCTGAAAATACTGTGATTTCATCTTTAGCACATATTGCCTAGCCCTCGTCAAACCTTGTTCCCTGGAATGAACTAAGTCAGAGAAAAAGAACCAAACAACAAAACATACTGCTGGAGTTCTTTGGGTTGGGCTCCATGACAAAAAACAGAGGAAACAGGGCTGCTGTTTTTACAGTGTGCGACGAATATGGTAAATTTGCAGTGAACAAAGTTATCTATGGAGAAACTACCCAAAACATTTGGAATGACCATTTTAATCCCAGTTTTTTATTTGAAAAGGTTATTTAAAATAAGTCTATTTTTAAAAATATTAAACGTCTAGTATGCTAATTACACAGGTTAACAGGTTCTTTTCATCAGAGGTAATTTTATGTGGGTTTTGTAGTATTTTTCATACTGATTTCAAATCTTTGAATGTTTAGTTTTCCTCTAGCACATCAAGTTTTTCTGATGAAGCTATATGTAGTATGATATTATGTACATGCAGTCTGCCTAAGTGTATTACAAGAGTTGTCTGTGTTTTTTATCTTATAGACAGCATCACCGTTCTCTAGGTGACTAGATATTGATTTATGTTTTATTGACACTTGTCTAGTTGTGATTTGAGAATAATTAATTTGACCTAGTGCGCATGTGCATGTCTTGTGTAAACAAGTTATTTTGGCAGGAAACACAGGTAGTGGTGCCTCAGGTTTTGTTTTGTTGACGTAAGCTTCTCGGCAATTTTTTTTCTCTCAAATTGTTGCAAAACAAATACTAAATGTAACTCTCGAGTTTGAATTCTGGGTCATCGACCTGGAAATCAAGGGTGGAGGTGACAGACAGCATCAACTGTGTTGGCTTTCAGTTGTTATCATGCCTAGACATAGTATTAATCATCCAGACAGTTTCTGTTATGTGTGTGGTTCATTCACAACGAAAGTACAACGTCGCCCAATCACTGCAGATCTTAAGAAGATATTATACTTTGGCTGTCTACCTGGAGACCAGGATAAATCTTGGGCTCCACGTGTCATCTGTATCAGTTGTTCAAATGGTCTGCGTGACTGGTTAAATCGGCGAAAGGCAACAATGCCATTTGGAATTTCGATGGTGTGGAGGGAACTGCAAGACCATCTCGACTACTACTTTTGCCACACGAACACAAGTGGATTCTCAGCTAAAACTAAGCACAAAATTGTATATCCCAGCCTAGATTCTGCAAACAGGCCTGTTCCTCATGACAATTCATTGCCTGTTTCTGTACCACATGATGGTCTTGATTCTGTAGAAGGTGATGAGGAGTATGGAGAAGGTCCAGCTGGTTACATTGAAAGCATGATGGCCAACTACTGCTGGATGCTGTACCGCGACAATCCAGACAAGGTGTACACAAGAAAATCAAACAAAGCGTTTTTGAAGAAACAATGGTGGTTAACGAACACTTTTCAATTTCCTTTTGCCCACTGTCTGTTTATTTGATTTTGCTCTAAAGATATGTTACCCTATACTATAGTGATGCTTTTGTTTTAGTACACAATACTTGCAATTACGGTATTAACTAGCATCTCATAAATCAAAAAGTTGACATGACAGAAAAAAAAACTGAAAACAGATATGTAATCAGTGTGAAAAACTGATTTGGAAAAATGTATTTTGGTCTCTGATGATTAAAAAAAAAAATGTTTTTTGTTGTCCTGTGTGATTATTAAACTCAGAAAACTGTAATCAGCTAGGATCGGTATTGGCAGGACAGGCTTAACAAAAATTATAATTCAGCAATCAGTATTGGCAATTCGGTGCATCCCTGTTAGCTAGGGTAATATGGGTGCGGTGTGGGGATTAGTGTCACCCTTTTTTGCATGCACCCAGCATGCTTGGGACATCCAAGTGGCACCCTCTACAGTCAAGTCTTAGGAATTGCGGGCTGCGCACCTCTGCTGGCCTGGTTAATGAAGATGCATACACACCCCCAGCCGCAATAAAGTTTCGCAGCGCTGACTAGGTAGTCTTCCTTAAGGACTGTCTCAATAAAACAAGGAGCAAACCAATATCCCTCAAAGTACATTATTAGCAGAAGTACGGCTCTCAGGAGACCAGTACTTAAAAGCAGTTTATCAGTCCAGTATTAAACCAAAGCACTAAAAACCTCATTTAAAAAGGCTGACATACAGAAGCCATATAAAGAGAAACGGAACAAGCCAGACGCAGCCAAGCTTAAGTAAACAGTTTCCTTTTAACCCTGTAGTAGACCCTGTAATATCTGACAGTCCCCATACTACACAAATGCAGCGATACACATCCCACACTCACTATGAAGACTATTTTAACATGATGAGTCACCTGTGTCATTCAACGGCCTCTCCCTCAAATAGACTCATGCCACAGGAGATAAGATGGATGAGTACCTCTCAATTCCCTTTGGCTTCTACGCTGCCCCTGTGGGACTCCTCTGCAACAACCAGCGCGGGGGGACGTGCCAAAACGTTACGCCCCAGCCGGCCCAGTTAACGTCCACCTCCGCCCCCTGTCTGCATGCATGACTGAAAGAGTCTTGATGTCTCTTCTCCAGGCACAAAGTCTCATCCTCTCCTTATCCAGAAGCCCCATATGAAAGTATAACAGTAGTGCTTATGTCTGTTTCGATCCAGCATCGCCCTGCTTGCTCCAATTTAAAATGTTCATTGAAGCGGTTGGGTTATGAAAGCTGCCAAAGTGCTTCTAGATCCCAGGACTATCAAGATCTAGCATTAAATGGAGACGTTGACCGACCTACACGCCAATGGATGCTGGGCCAACCCCCAAAACGGGAACGCAAAAATCAGCCATCCCCTGCCGACATGCGCACATATGGTGGCAGTTTAGCAAATCCAACCATACTTCAGTAGAGCATCTGGCGACGGCAAACGGACCCCTCTGATGTCAGAACACTGACCTGACTCCTGGACTGACTCTCCTTCTCCATGCGGAGGAAAGGTGCTCGCTCATTCCGCTTGGGGTGATTCTTCAGCTTCTTGGGCTCCGCCATCGGCCGTTTGCCCTTATCCCGTTTCCTACAGTGACAAGGACAAAAACCTGAGGGATCAACTCCACCCTGTGTCAGAGTTCAGAAGAACGACATCATATGCACCCTTTATTTCTGATGGACATGGAATACAAAACTACAACCTAAAGAATGCATTCATATGAACCCCTGCCCCCCTAGACCCAGGGGGAACCAGCCCCAGCCTTCTTCCTCTACCTGATCTTGGGCCCCCGGTGTGAGGGCATGGCTAGGACCTTCCTTCTTTTCTTCCCGTCCTCAAGCTCCACCTCCTCCACTACAGGTGTGGTCTTGAAGCCTGAGTAGTTCTTGGGCGTGCCTGAGATGTCCCGGGCCACCTGAAGGGGTGCCACTACGTTACCACCTGACACATGGGGGCGATGCTGCTCATTCTGCCGTTTCCCTTGCTGCTGCTGCGGCTGGTCCTGCCGTTTCCCTCGCTGCTGCGGCTGGTCCTGCAGTTTCCCTCGCTGCTGCGGCTGGTCCTGCCGTTTCCCTCGCTCCTGCGGCTGGTCCTGCCGCTTCCCTCGCTGCTGCGGCTGGTCTTTCTGCTTCATCATGTTTTGTTTGGCACGGAGCTGGAGGTTCATTCACAAATCACTTAATCATAAAGAGGTCTGCCAATAACCTGATAATGACAATAATGACTACACTTTATATTGCCATTTGTATCGGTAGAGGCACATAATGATTCCTTAGCTTTGTTTCTCCTGTGAGACACACACACACACACACACACACACACACACACAAAGAGGTGATAGTGAAGCTATTTATCCAGCATCCCTGGGGCAGTTCTCAGCATTAAGGGCCTTGCACAGAGGCCCAAAAGCGATATAATCACACGATCAGCCACGGGATTCATACAAACCAAAGCAAGGCACCAGATGGTCCAACCGGCATCTGCGCGCTCACTAAACACGAGGTTCTTTAAAGTCAGCGGGGGGGTGAATACCTTATTCTGCTGAGCTCGCATCTCCTTCAGCTTCAGCTTCCTGCTGTCTTCAAGAGAGAACTCCACAATGGGCCTCTTAATGGACAAGGAGCAACGCGACATCAGACCCTTTGTGCTAGTTATGTCTAACCTTTCAGTTTGATTGCAAAGACAATTCCTGAACAAATTATAATCAAATATGGTCAGTCATTCAATCAAAGAATATCCATTTGTCTAATACTGCCTCACCGCACCTTGAAATATAAGCATGCTTGTGAGGTAGATTTAGAACCTCAAACGGCGCCCTCTACTGATACAAAAGAAAGGGACTGCAGCTCAGTTTCTTTCTGCTTTAGCTAACAGGTTAAATAAATAAACTGAAGCAGCACCTCGGGATGATTAATGTGGGTCAATAGTCAGGCCGCAGAAGAACTTCAGCATGAAAGACGAATTATTAAAAAGTACAGGCTGAGAGTGTAAAGTGAACTGGTCGGGAATCCTAAAGGCTTCAGAGATGCACGCGGAAACGTTGGCGGTTCTGGGCTCCTTCTGGCCGGAGCCAAGATGCGGGCCGCACCTCAGCCTCACCTTGTTCGGCCCGAAGATCTCGGGGTTGTTGTTGAGGTGCCGGAGGGCGGCCAGGGCATGTTCGTGCTGCTGGAACTGGACGAAGGCGTAGCCCAGGGAGCGGCCGACCACCTTCCCGGCCTGCGGCTTCCTGTCGTACATCACACGACACTGGGGAGAGAGAGGGGGCCCCCGGGACGGCTCTTAATCACGTACCGTGAAAAATAATAATACTGCCGCCGACATTTTCATAAGCTGCTATCGTAGTTATGCAAAGCCTAATAATAATGAAAATTAATTTTTAACCGAATCCGCTTGCTACAAAAGCAGCAACCGATTCTACATTAATACTACAGCTGTCATACTAAAAATTTCACTATTAATGTGTGCAATCAAAACTTAATATCAGCAGTATTACGCCACGCATTAAAAACTCATTTAAACAAAATTATGTGAAGATTTCATCTTGTTTCACTGCCCGATATTGTTGAGCTGGGCTAATTGTAAGAAAACAAGGAAACTCTGTCCCTACCACAAACAAACTATTGCTGACAATCAGATTAAACAAGCCGATTCTGCAGTCAGTCTCCAGGGAACATAGGCCATCGTGACAGAAAAACTGGGCGTGGCTGCTGAGAACCTGGATGACTCACAACTTGTGTCCGTGACTCCGTAGAGCTGAAGCCCCCGCTGAATAAGTGGATTAACAGGCATGATAAAACGGAGCGACAGAGCCCCCTAATGGTTGATGCTTGTAACAGCACTTGTGGGCTAGTTTCAATCTAGTAACAATTCCTTCACCAAAAATCAAAAATACAGATAGATTTGAAGCAATTGTTTAAATTTACTAATATACTTAAGAAAAATACAGATTTTATAAAATGTTGACAAACTGCCAATGCTGGTACTGAAAGATTCAAAATGTCTGAAGAAATCCTTTTCTTATAAAGACGGTTAGGACAATGAAATGGCAACACTGACCCCTAGTGGCGAGAGCAGGTACAGCATTAGCATGGCAGCGATTTCACTACGCGTTACACTTCCATGAGTGCTCAGACTGCAGGGCCTCACCTCGGTGACGCGTACGTCCTTCCCGCCGCCCGCTGCCTTGGCACACAGCTGCCGCAGCTGCCTCACGTCCACCGACTTGGGCAGGTTGTGTACACACAGACGTTTCTTTGACACAAAGACGTTGATGTCCCGCAGCTTTATCCGCTTCAGCTCTTCAAACTGGTATTTTTAATGAAATAGTTCAAATAAATGGGGAAAAAAGTATTGCGAACCATGAGCACCAGCAGAAATATCAACCCCAGAAAATTCAGCAGGAGACATTTAAGGGCAAACAAACACAGAATAACGAAACGGAATGTTACAAGAATTGTTACAATATTACCTTCTCCTCAGAGCTGTATTCAAGGCATTTCCATTGACATTTCCATGTATATATTTATATACTGTTTAGACCAAAGCAATGTAAAGCAAACCAATGATACAACACAGACATCCAGCTGTCAGTCAGCAAACTCGGTTACAAGCTCTACCTGGCTGAGCCTCCAGTGAGTGACCAGTAAGTGCCACACAACACATTACAAAGCAGTGGGAGAAGCTAACAGGAGGATTAATCAAATCAAATGCAATGAGAACCAGGTTCCATGTCCAAAATACAAAACCATCCCCCCCGCCAGGACTTACCCTCCCCCTCTTGGCCATGTCTGCGGCAGGGACGCCCTCAGCGGCTTTTGTCCCGGCCCGGATCACTGTGGGGGATGGAGGGGTGCAGAGCCAGCATCAGCCACGGGCCAGAGGAGATGTTTCCAAAAGAGTAATAATAATAATAAAATAAGATGAAGAGAAAGAAGAATCAATATTTATAAGGCACTGTTCACACATGGAATGCAGCTCAAAGTGCTTCACATATGAGATTAAAATAAATCTAAAGGCAGAAAAGCAACTAATGTACAGGTCAATGAAATTATAGAGGGATGGAATAAATTGAAATACAATAAGCCAAAATAAATAAGCTGAACAAACAAGCAAAATATAAAGGAATAAAAAAATGAAAGTTATAAAAATATAAGCTAGAGAAAAAAAAAAGCTGTATGACACCCCTTCACGCGCTTACAGGCTGCCCTGCCTGCCTAGTTGCCCTCAAAAGGCATCTTCCATGCCGTTCAGCGGTGGGAAGCTCACGCGCCCCCTGCACACTTCCGCCCGCGTTCCAGTCACTCACGTCCTTCCCTGGCCAGGTACAGGTTCCGGGTCCCCGTCTGCGTCTTCACCGCCGCCTTGTCCTTCAGTTTGGTGGCGTCGTCACGGCTGACCGCCAGCACGATGATCAGCCGTCGCCCATCCACTCGGATGCCACCGTTCTGGGGACAGCCAATTGAGGGACAAAGTTGGGAACGGCAGGCTTGAAAAGCGGCGGCTGCTAGGTTCCGGAAGCCGGCGTCCATCACCGTAGCGACGCCCCGCCTTACCTCCGAGCTGTCCTGCGCTGCGCCGATGCATTTCTCCGCCCCCTCTTTGGTCTTAAATTGTGCAAAGGCACAACCTGCCCGCAGGGAACAGAGATCGTGATGTTGCGTAACGTACCACCAGCTATACGGTATCAAGACGACAGGCTACAGCCACGGACCTCAACTAACCCAACTCACACAACAAATGATCACAGCAAGAGGCTACACACCCAGAAAATAAGGTCATAAGATTTCCCTCCAAAAACTATGATGTGCCATGTTATCGAAGGCCCAGAGAGGGGGGGTACCAAGGTACAGTCAGAGGGTGGAGGGAGGGGCCAGATGCTTTAGGATTTAAAAAAAAAGAGAACCTCTTGAATGGTCAGTGTCCGGATGAAGCACAATGCGAATGTACTTCATCTCTCCAAACTCAAGCAGAGCTTTTTCAATCTCTTCCTCTCCTGTGTCAAAGGACAGATTTCTGAAAGGTGACAAAAAAAAAAATACACCAGGAGCTGACTCGCCAACACAAAAAGCTGTTATAGCCATCAGCGAAAGCGGTTTTTAGTAATTATTTTTAAGCAGTGATCATGCCCCCTCTGCTGACCTGATGAAGACCGTTCTCCCTTCATTGACGTCGGAGGGTAGAGGCTTCTTCTCGGCTGGACATTCTAAAAGGAATTTAAAAAATGCATGAGAGAAGAACTGGTACCAAATATTACATCTAAATATTACTTTCATTAATAAACCAAAAAAAAACTTGCTCAGAAAATCAGTAAGAAAAGTCAAGGACGAAATGAGGCTTCATGAACCATTTGCAGTATTTTTGTCCCCACTAGACGGTGCTCTTGGTCTGCGCTGGGGCATGCTGTGCCCTTTTTTGAAAATACAGCTCCATCTAGTGGGCTCAAAAAATACAGCAAATGGTTCATGAAGCATCATTTCGTCCATCACTAGTAAGAATGCTTACCATCATCATCATCCTCCTCCTCATCATCCTCCTCATCATCCTCCTCATCATCAGATCCATGGTCACTGTTATCAGAGTCCTCCTCAGATGTTGATTCCTTTTCTTCTTGATCCATCTCCTCCTCCTCATCACCACCACCTTCGGCACTCCCGCTCTCTGATTCATCATCAGCCTTCTCTGCAGTGCCAATTCTGAGGACCAGAAAAGCCAAAATATGTCCACCCTACCTGAAAATGGGCCATCCTGTCAGATCACTACAGCACAGAACTAACTGTGCTGTACACAAAGTTCACGGTTCAGTAAAGCAAGAAAAGCAGATTTTGTTTTGAAATTAATTACTAAATATGCAAAAACAAAGACAATTAAGAACAGTTCTAAATCAAAGGCAATTAATCTAACAACATTTCCATAACAAATCCAAACAGATGTTTATTTGCAAATCGTAAACATAAATAGGCCTATGTAAATGAATCAAAAATATAACATCATAATCATAATGAACTACATTGCATATCTGTAGCAATAAATACCCATATAGTCATAGTTTTTGTTTTTTTTTTTTGCCTGGTTTGAATTTCCTGGACAAAGCCCCTTAAATGCCACCAGGAGACTTGCAGAGGTTTTTTTCCATCTTGCTCTGCTCATACACACACAGTTCACTCGGATGATCATCTCAGATGAGTTAGCACACTGGATGCGTTTCCAGCTACATAATGACTGTTACCAGCATGAGCTGTAACCAACTCACAGCATTAATTAGCATAATGTGTCCATGCTGAACATCCACCTGTGAATTTAGGTTCCACCCGTATCAATAAATGTATTCAGTTGTTTCTTTGTATGTATCAAACAAAAAATGATGCACCAAATGGTATACGACAAACTCATATATTGTTTCTGCCCTATAAACTGTACATTAAATAATAATATTGTTATTATTAATAATAATGACACTTTACTGATACTTTTCTATTTTCGCCAACCCCATCTTGCTCTCCATGACACACATGTAGGTGAGAGCGAGTTTGGCAGTGAAGGGCAGCCGCCCACAGCGGTGCCCATGGAGCTGGGGGGGGGGGGGGGGTGGTTAAGGGCCTCACTCAAGGGCCCACAGACGTGTGACTGTTGTGTCGAGGCTTGAACCAGCAACCTTCTGATCACAGGCAGAGAGGCTTAGCCCACCAAGCCACACTGCCCTCTCGTAGCACCACCAACTGCCAGTCTCATACCACAGAGGCAACATAAGAGATAGCACAGGGCTTCGATATGGACAAAGGATACATAATCTCAGGATTACAATGCAGGAAAAAGAGAAGTAACAGCAGACACTCTACAGTTACTCAAACGGTCAATACATACACACTAAACTCCATTTTTATCATTTCGACTGAACCCAGGTTCAGCAAATGGAGGCCCAGGGATAGTCTGCTTTACATGACCAGAAGAGATCTCCACCTGGTGAGAGCGCTTAACCAGCTATGTTCATGGTTAAGGTATCCTGAGAGTAAGGAAATGCTAGCGGTGCAGGCTGGGTAACCGCAGCACATCAGAGCGTTCAGGGCCCTAATCTGCTGCATCCAAACTGCATTTATTTAATTACTGCACCCCATTAAGTGCAATAAGGGCCGCTGGTGCATTTTAATGACACATTAAGTTCCAGCAGATTTTTTTTAGGCATTTAGGAATCTGCAGGAAGCCAGGAGTGCGTCCGGTGAGACGCGAAAGACCCGCTGTGTTCCGGAGCAGACACGTACGCGCTCAGAGCCGGCGGGTCGGTTTCCTCTTCAGACTCCGGTTCCGGATCCTTGGCTTCGTCCCCACTCTTTTTGGACCCTGCATTAGAATTTCAGGAGAACCATCAACCACCACAACGCGTTACATGTAATTAGCAAAAACATTAAAAGAATTACCCACTGCTCTCCCCACTGGCCATCTACACAGCAGTAATTAGCTAATTACCACTGCACCATAAAGTCGCTAAACCACACAGAAAATGACTTTCTCCAAAAATCCTCATTTATCCATCCACTGTTTAATGAAACTAGTTGCTTGCAAAATGAATCTGTGAACTTAATCACCTGCAGGCCCATTAACTGTAGTCATGTACTTGTCCTTCGCAACTGCCCAGTCCACAGCGACCTGCCTTCCTGTGGAAGAGCAGAAAGGGTGTTAATCAGGGTCGCCAACTCTTTCGCATCTGGTGTGACACTCACGTTTTCAGACTCTCGTGCAAGACAGCTTACAGAAAGTCTATATTATTCCATTATAAACCTAAAATTAGCTATCATACAGTGGGGTGATTCACAAACTCTACAAGCTATTCACAGGGTAATAAAACTGTTGCATGTAAACGCGTGTGTGTATGTGTGTGTGTGTGTGTGTGTGTGTGTGTGTGCAGACTTCTGTCGAATTGAAAATCTCACTCCAGGCAGCTAACCAAAGTTGGCAACTGTGGTTAATTCACGTTGTATGTTTGTGACTTCAGTCTTGGTGTAGGCTTTGCTATTACCACAAGTTAATCAATAGTGACTCATCAATGTTATTTTGAAAGAAAATATAGTACACAGAACAGGATCCTTCATGATGAGATGTGCAAGTTTATTTCTGAGCAAACATGAACCAGTCAGGAACAAGCAGTAATTTGTCATTTATAAGAAAAGGCATCGTGTTGCCACTTTATAGATTTTCAACTTCTGGGCCATTTTAAGAAATTAGTTAGGTTAATAAATGAGTAATGTATTTTGAAATAATCACTGGCACTGATTACAGCATACGGTTTAAAAATTTAAATTTCAGACACATGATGCAAAATGATCATTTAATGGGATTTGTTCATAAATACCTTTAATTTCCTTTAGATTTGTAGCACTCAGGGCTCTTCCGGCTTCCAGCATGTTTTTAAACTGGATGAATGCAAATCCACGCATTTTCCCATCTACAGAAAACATTTATTCAAACATCCATTATGAAACTTTAGCAACCACTTTCAGAAATCGTGATGATGTTCCTAGATTGTTCCAGGATTCATCATGGTGCGTAAAACAATGACACTCTGAAGACCTGTGTAGAAAAGCTACATTTACTTTGAAGTATGTCATCACAGATGTGTCATTACCTGGCTTTAGGGGAATTTTCACTTCCAGCACTGTCCCATACTTCGAAAAGACCTCTTTGAGGTCACCCTCAGTACACTGCAAGAAAATACCGTTACATATTTACTAAGCAAAAACAATAGTTTTTTTCCTATTCCTTCATAACCCCAAGCATATGATCACGTACCTTGAAACTGAGATTTCTTATGATCAGCCTCGCTTTCCTTCTGTTCTTTTTCAGACCTTTTGATTTCTGTTCTTTTGGAGCAGACTCCTTGGTCGCTTAAGGAAACATATATGGCACTTTAACCGTATGCAAGACAGTAAGGCGCCGACCTCACCGCTCATATCGCCAGTTTAGGTTCCTTTTCCGAAAATGTTATGACTTTAGAAGCCCAATCAGAAACGTCACAGAAAATCTCGTTACTTTGCAAAGTACAGAATCTGTAACTAACGAAAGCGCTGTCATACCTCCTTTTTTCTTGTTATCCAGTTTCTTCTTGGCTACCGACACCGAGATTTTCTGTCCATCGTATTCCTTGATTTCCTTTAAAGCTCTTTGAGAGTCCTCCTCCATAGAGAAAGTAACATATCCAAACCCCCGGCATTTGTCTGTTCCTAAACAATAAACAATTTAAGTGGCAAAGTGAAACGATGACAGTCTATCGCTGCTCTTTAAATATGCATTAAGCATGAGCTGAATTCATGATTCACATTCAAGAAATATCGAGTAACTCAATTATATTGGCTTACCCTTCTCTTTCACAACGAAACAACTTTTCACGGGTCCTATTTCGGCAAATATTTCTTCCATGCATCCATTAGAGGCAGACGCCGGCAAATTTCGAACAAATAAAGTTGGAACAGACATTTTGAGCTTTATGGTAAAGACTGAACACAACGAATCACCTAATCCGCCCTTTGCGCTTTAACTCAAGTATTTTGTTACCCGAATAACATCAATTCAGTTTCTCATTTAACTGAAAATGCATCAACACGGACACACTTGGATCTCTTTTCAAATATCACATATATTTAAAACCACCATGCAACGCTCACGTTTAACGCTGGCGGCAGCCATTTTTGGCACGAAACGGAAGTTGTCCACCAAAAATAATTCCGACTCGAAATTCCGGGGACTGATTTATTCAGTTCCGGATTTATGTTTTTTTGTATATAAAAATAAAAAGATATTTTAAAAAAACTAACAAAAAACATTACTCGTTTATTAACAAGCGAAAAATTTAAACTAGTTTCTGGTAAAAAAAAATAATTACAATTTATACAGATATTTTGTTTGCAGTAATATAAAATTAATTTTATTTCTAGAATTGCAAAATTCCCGAAAGTAAAATAATTATTTAAGTTAAACATAAATCTCTTCATCCTTCATATCCCTTATACAGTACAATTTTGCTGTGGAATTAAAACGTCACTTTGTTTTTAGCTACTCAGTAACGTGACCTGAAAAATGGTGCAAACTGTAGGCTAATATTTATTGAATTTTGAGTTTCGTAGCCATGTGAAATCTGATTAATCGTCATAAGAACATAAGAAATTCACAAACGAGAGGAGGCCATTCTGTCCATCAAGCTAGTTTGGGGAGAACCAAACTAATAGCTCAGAGTTGTTTAAATCTTATCTGGCTCTGATTTAAAGGAACCCAGGGTTTTAGCTTGCGCTACACTAACAGCTCATTTTAGTACATCAGTTTTGTGATCAATTTTGCGTTAACATCATATGCACGTAGACCCTATGCTTATAATAATTTTTAGTTGTTTTGTATTTTATAAATATTCACCCTTGAGCACTTCAACTGACAGTAGGCGGCGCCCGCTTCAACCATTTCAGTTTCTGAAAATTTATTTTACCGGCCTTTTAAATCTTGACGGCATTTTCCTGTCAACTCTTCATAGCTAAATGTGTTTTACAAGTTGGTACAAGCTTTGCTTGACTGCTTGCCTGTAACTAATTGTTCCTACAGCCTGAACGAAATATGTATCTGAATGCCCTTGTGACCGCCTTGTTTTACTGGCACTGTTACAAAGCGTTCTACTTACATAATATTCTGCTGCTATGTTTTAAACATGACTGGACATTTTAATTAAATAAATTGACTCAAAGTTCCATTTAAAATATATTAGAATGTATTTTGTGTTTATTCTTTCGTCTATTGCTGAAAAGCTTGCGCATTGAAAAGCGGCCCTGTGCCTCCCAAAGGAGCCCAGGGCGGCGGAACGCCTGGTATTTTTAATAACTCGTCCCAGTTTTTGGATAAGTCGAAGGCACCCCAGGAAAGGATCACTTTCAGAAGCAGTGATGCGAGTAAATGCCCGTTGTGGTGTGGGGGGGGCGACATAGCATGTCACGGAGAGATTTACCAGCCTCCCCCTGCCCACCCCCGGAGTGATGTCATCTGTTTGGCCAGCACATGGACGCCTTTATCCCACGGTGGCCCCCATTGTCTCTGCCCTTCCCATTTACAGATTGCTTTCAGCGGGGGCCCGTCGACTCGCACAGCGCTCCTCCGCTTCTCGGAAGCGGGTCCAACCTGTATAACGGGACGGATAATTTCAGATTCACGCTGCTGTGTAAAGCGAAGCGTTTAAACGACACTGGGTGCTGTTAGACCCCACAGATTTTCCCACAAGTGCCCCCGATGAGCATATGCATGGTTCATTACCAAGGCTGTTTCCCAGGATTCGATACCCCGATATACGAGAAAAAGCAGAAGCAGGTCGTTCACTATATTCATGTGTATACGGACACATTAATAAATTCATTTCTTCTTTTAAGCTTGAAGAAAAGAAACTTCCCGCAGTTGATCTTACTGCATAATTTAATATCTCATCTTTTAAAAAAACCTGCCGTCGTCTTTTGAAGTATTTTATACAGACATCATCCTGGTTATTATTATGTGCCAGTGCAATAGCCGCCGCTTAAGACGTCTCAGTGCTATTCCACGGAGCTGAAGCGCGCTACAGAGCTCATCCAGCATCCATCAGCCTGGGATTTTCATCGCTCTGTGCCGGTGTGGGGAAACTATTAATAAGTATGTACAGTGTGCGAAGTTAAGATGTAATCCCTTTACAATTTTCCGACGCTGTATGAGAAATATTAATAAGCAGTTTCTCCGGGAGCTGTGAAAGTGCAAAAGCGGTGTTATTGCATTGCTGAATCCCAGAAGACCACCTCGGCCACCCTGATTGCTTTGTTCGTCTGTTTAAAAGCGTGTTACGCAGTTTTTCTGTTATGGTGGCAGCTGAAACAGACCCGAAGAATGGGCATTTTTATATGAAGTCAAAGATTGTCTGGCAGGGCGTGATTTTTCCGTCATTTGTAGACTATGTGAGTGGTTTGTATATCAGACAGACAAGGCTACAAACCGAGAGCCCATTGACCGCAGGCCTCGTTTAATCCCAGTCAACACTCAATTCACCCATTTATAAAACACTCCACCACAAGTCCTTCCAGATCAGGTGTCTGACTGCTTCTTACAGTAAATAATATAGGTGCTAAAACAGAGAGTGTGCCAGTTAGTTTGCTTCTCCCAGTAAGAAAGCTCTCCACCAGTAAGAAAGGTCAGGCACGCCGCCTGACCTTTCTTACTGGAATCACCTGTTGGCAGAGAAAACCCACCCTGCAACCGCATTTTTCTGATACTGGGCCTCCATGACTCATCTCCTCCCAGAGCAAAACAATCCCTCCCTCTCTCTGATTTAACATTTTTTTCCAGCTTTGCTCTGACATTAATGCAGTCAATGCACAACTTAACGTGTTATACTGCATATTAGTCAATAATTATGAAGCGCTTAACAACACGGGTCCCTGTTCTTAGTTTCGCAGACCTACTGTTAATTCCCAGTTCACATCTTGTTTTTATTAAAGCAGGCTAATTTTCTGTTTCCCATAATGTCAGCACCCCCAGAAATTTTTTCCTCCCTCTCTGTTGTCTTCTGACATTCTCTCTTTCCATTTCCCACTGTTTCATGCATCATTCTGCATAAATGGATTGCCACACACTCTTCTCAAGTGACTTGGGGCAACTCTGTTGTGAAAGGCGCTATATAACAATAAATTAAAATTGAAATTGTTCTTATACATCTTTCCTACATTATTTAGACATTAGTCTGTACGTCGTACCTAATATATTTAATAGAATTGCTAAAACAATGTTAAAATGCTAAAACGTGACATCAGTTGAATTTAAAAAAATTTCTACATGTAATAAAATATATGCAGCTTTTATAAAATATGAAAAATGCATCCATCCATCGGCCAGCAACTTATCATGGAGGCTGGGACCCTATAAATCAGTCAAATATCCAGTAAAACTGAAAAAAAAATTTGCTGGAAAACTAAATGTTATCAATGTCGCTTTCTGTGAGGAAGACTGATTAAAGAATAGAATCTGTTGTTTGTTCGGAACAAAGGAGTATTATCTCTGTCACAATTAACCTCTGTGTTTGTTTCTAAATTCTGCAGCTCCGTGTGGTCTCTGCCTTGCAGGCAGACTCCATCCGTCAAACATACGCAGCACAGGGCCATGCCAGTGTCACCATCCCCATGACCCAGCTGAATGTCCCTTTGTTGTCCACGGCCTCAAACCATATCTTGATTCAGAGATATCAAACACTAATTAATGCAGGGTTTTTTTTCCCACTCATCCTGTGCCAAAATCCACATTGTCATCCTGTGTTTCATTGCGCCAAAGCCAGAAAAACAGAAATCAGTTCACATAATGAAAGCATGTGTCATACTGGGTGTAAGTAGCTACACATATACAAGAGCTGAAGCACAATCATGCCAACATTGCAGTAATTTAACGGTGAGGCATACTGAAGCCAGATTATTATGGGATATTGCTATAGCTATCATTAATCTGGTGATGCAATTGCTATGGAATTTAAATCTTGAATCCACGAATAACCACTCCAGTGGGTAGACTAACCAGTTTTTCTAGTTCTGTCACTACTTGTTTACTAGCCTAAATCTGCAACACAGCATGACTGCACAGTACCGTAATGATCAGTCTATTAATCAGAGCTCAAGTCAGCATGTAGTCACACAATGACTGTCCAGAGCTACACAATATGGCACTTTTAATGTTAAACTGAAGACTACGCGGAAAACACAAGGGTTTCTGTAAAGCACTCCTGCAAGAAAATATAAAATATTCATCTTTAGATCCATTCTGTATTCGCTGAATCATCGATTGTTTGGTAGAAAAGCAGCTGCATAAAAGCCAGTCTTTTATGTAACACAGACCCAGTATGCTTGTGTTTTAGTGATTAATGGACATCCCTAATGGACGGTAATTGACTCCAACCTGTAAAATTCTTCCACGCCTCTTCCCTCTGCTGAATCGGCTTTATCATGTGCCCTGGATCTCCAGCCCAGGTCTAGTGGACCTGCACCATCTCCTACCTCAATCCAATTAGGGGGCAGGAGCAGACTGGGCTTCACACCGCAGCCCTCTGGTGAGCAGAGATAGCATTTTAAATGCGATGGTTTCCATTATGTCCCCATGGGCACAGCCGCTCGATGTTTGCCTGCGTCTGGCTGGGGCTCCGGACGCCAGCTGAAGTACATCAGGTTTCCGCAGTGCAAGAACCCGAGAGCCACACATTATTATGATAGCCGGATCTTTCAGACCTTACTAGTTAGCTTGATTTTGCACAACCTAGCAGAATCATGGTATATTGTGATGGTAACACTTTACTGACAGGGCACAAAACTTTGTACTTTGTACAAATTATGAACAGATCATGAGCAAATATAGTTGCTACTTGAGATAAAAGATGCGTCACGATTCATTAATTAATTAATGATGAATAAACATGAGATCAGTTAATCATGACTTGTTCCTTCAGTAATTCACAAAGGTTTACAGAATTAACAGATTTAGTAACAAATATAGTAACTGTTTTGGATGAAAGATTCATTAATGATGAATTAACATGAGATCAGTATGCAAGTAAGACTTAGTTTGTGGTTAATTAATACATAAGTAATAGTATAATACTGTATTATTAGTTAATGGTATCCCTCTGGCCCTTTAACCAAATTAGTAAACTAGTAATTATACTATTTGTCCTGTCTTTGCACCCTGTGTCTCTCTGCAGGAAACACGCATGCAAACATCTTATTGTACTCAGTAGTTGTACCAGTACAAATGAAAACAGACCTTTTGAATCCTTGGGTATTATTTTTTTATGATATACAAGAGCAGAAGACATAAGGCATAAAGGGGAAAATCTAGCCCCCCCCCCCGCCCAATCTGGGAATGTAAAAGTATCTGTATATATTCCATAAATCCTGTACATCCATGGGACCATTTGCAAATCTGCAAGGACCTGAAGACATGGGTTCGATTGCAGCAGGACACCGAAGGTCTCCCCTGAGGCTGCGAGACTCCCTGCCCCTCATTTCACGCCCTGTCAGTGTTCATTGGGCGATTCTCGCCTGAGTGAGCTCTGCTTTGAAAAGCTGAACTTGGACAGAAGCATAAATAATCATACTTATGGGCAGTTCTGTATTATTTTGCATGCATATTTTTAAACATATGTAATATGGCCAAAAGTATGTGGACTCCCTATTGATTAGCGGAATTGCCTAATTTAGACAGCCAGGTGTATAATTAAGCAGTGTCACACAATCGGCAACAAATATTAGTGGCAGGAATGATCAGGGACTTTACACTTCGCACGATCACAGGACACCATCTTTCTGGCATTCAGTTCACCATAATTTTGTCCTGCTAGAGCTACCCTGGTCTGTCATAAGTGAGCCTCAAGTCTCATGGTGCAAGGAAGACCAGCATCGAGACGCTACTCTGTTTTGGCACCTATGCGGTGGAATAAACTTCCACTAGATGTCCGGACAGCTGAGTCGTTGGGTGTCTTCAAATGATGACTAAAATCCTGCCTCTTTCGGAAGCACTTGGATTAGCACTTCCACGATTATGCTCATCATTATATAAAAAATACTGTATTTCTTGCCAACAAGATTTTTTAGAGTGATATCATTCTTAGCCGGGTTTCATTGAACCAGTATCAGAATGTATTCACTGATGAGACGTCGAAGCACTTATGTAAGTCCCTCTGGCGAAGGGCGTCTGCCAAATGCTGTAAATGTACATGTAAATGTGAATGACTGCGAAGCTCAAAACACCTGAGAGTAAGTTCAGCTCTGAAGTGGCAGCCACACAAACTCACAGAAAGGGACCTGATCACCCAGCGCCGATACCCAACCTGAATGGCAGTAAATCCTACCAGCAATGTCCAATGTCCAACATTTAATGGAAAGCCTTCCCAGAGGAGTACAGGCTGTTATAGCAACTAAGGGTTAGCCAACTTCACATTAATACTCTTGGTTTCGGAATGAGATGCTGGACAACCTGGTGTATAACGATTATGGTGATCAGTTTTGACCAGAGGTAATATAATTGAATGGCATTTAATATAATTTTACAGTAGTAGGACATAAATCATATATCACTTATGAAAATTTTGGAATGTTTTAATAAATTTGTCATCAAAAAATGAAAATATACTAAAGACTCATTGGTTTTCTGAAGTATAAAACATGTCTATCAAGAGCCTCCACTGTCATTGTATTGAACAACGAGACTGAGCAACGAACTGGGAGAAGCAGGACTGGCTGGTTCTGGGCCCAGACCCTCCTGAGGGGGTGTGCTGAGTTAATGTCACTAGGGTACGGAGAGATCTCCTCAGATACAGTAACAATACATAAAGCTACAACATTATCAGGCGGGGAATTTACGCTTTTACCTCATTGGACACATCTGTAGAAGCCCAGTCATGCTTCCTTTGGTCTGCCTAAACACCCCATCCCACATTGATTTGCCCCTCTGATGGATTTACCCTCCCGTCAGCTCTCGTCGTTGGGGCACCCCGACCCCCCCGTGTCACTGTGAGGGATAGCGCAGGCCACCAGAACAAGTTCAGGTGTGGCTACTGGTTTCCATCCCAGGGGGTCACTTTGGGCATATCTGTGTGTGGTTTGTGGTGTGTGTGTGTGTGTGTGTGTGTTTGTCTCTTTTCCCTGCTGGCCACTAAAGTGGTGTGTGTGGCAAAAAAACTGCATGCCTGCAGAGGTGTGAACACAGGAATTGTGTGTTTTACATTCACAGTAGGTTAACTTATACAGCAGGGGGGAGAGGGTGGGGCGAGGGACGAGGAGAGGGAGAAAGAGAGAGAGAGAGAGAGAGAGAGAGAGGCAGGGACAGAGAGAGCAAGGAGCTTCGAACTGGTTTTCACACACACACACACACACACGTTGAGGATATTTACAACACCGGACCGGCACAGAAGCTCCAGCATTTTTTCGCTGCACTATCCTGGAGAGGGTGAGTATTTCACATTCCCTCCAGCTGCTGAGGTGCGGAAGGGGGTGGCGGGTGGATCGGCTCCCCTTCGTGCTCGCTGACAGCTGGAGGACAGACAGTGCGGGGAACCGAAGGTGCCAGTTGTCGGCTGTGCGGCGTCACGGAGCCGATGCGCGTCCGTGCGGCGTCCAGGCGCGCCGCCTCCTCGGAGCCAAACGGTCTGGGAAAGGGATTTAAATAAAAAAGCGTTCGGGGGTCTGATGGCGATATAAGGAAACAAGTGGACTAACGAAGAGGAGCCTTTTTACTCCAGCTGTCAGACCGATACAGGTAATGGATGGCACGCCTGGTTGTACGTTGCGCAAGAAATGGAGCGACTCAGTTTTACATCACCTCCAAGGAGGATGTAAATTATCTCATGACAAGCTGTGATTACTAAGATCTTTGGGAAACATGCATCATTTCCATTGAATGGCAAAATGAACCCGCAGTGTCTTTAACACCTTCCGCGTAGGGTGGTCTGACAGTATGATGGTAAAATTTATTTTTATTCGAAGCCATCTAAGTAAGATTTGTGCAGTTCAGCACTGAAGGGAGAAAAATCGATGCGGTTTATTATAAGTTAAAAGCAATCCGATCTCTGGCTAATTGCAAACGTGACCAGATGTTTAACCTCTGCATCTGTCCGAAGTGCTTGTAGTTTTTGCTGCATGGCAGATGGTTGGTTATGCGGAACAAGCGCCTATTCGGGCTGTTTGTAAACAGCATTTAGGCACCTGAAATGTGGCAATAGCCTCCATCTGCTCGAAACGTAGCGATTTGAAATGGAGAACATGTACTGATCTTCCCTCTACTATGGTAAACGTAGTGCGCTTTAAACACGAGACGATATTGTGATGCCATTCTCATTTACATAACACGCCAAATGAGAAATATGAAAATATTAACTATAAAAATCTAAAATACAAATGTACCATCCAGGAACTTGCATAGTATATAGTTTAGAATATGAAATGAAACCTTATCCAAACACAGTGAAACCAGGATTTTGGCCTTATCTTAAATGTCCATAACACACTCATCAATTTTGTGACTGTCAAAGCCGCTGATTTATTAGTGCGCCCGCTCCCGGTGACTGGAATCTACAAGCAATTGCGGTAAATACCGTCACAGGTCAACGCGCAAGAAATGACGCTTACAGTGGACATCACCCTCTTTAAAAGATACGTGCGATATTTATTAATAGGATAATAAATCATGAATAATATATCGTAATAGCCCCTTAAAACAATTACGGTCCCAACCAGAAGACGGGGCGATTAATAAAGGATAAGTAGAGGCTTCTCCTGCTACCCCAAGACCGTACTGGGGCACTGACAGCACGTCGCTGCTCTGGTTACCGGTGCTATGGATAGGGGACCCCGGCCTCGGCCTCTGACGTCACTCTAAAACTGTAACGCTATGTGAGCATTTCGTAAAATCTCAGCCGGTCCCTGTTTTTGGCTACATCCCGCTGATTTAAAAATTACCGGTAATCAGATGATCCCCCTTGTTGTACAAGCTAATTGCTCGCCTTCGATGGCCTGCTGGTGTCCTGCTGGCTGTGTAACCAAGCGGGTCACAGGCCTCCTGTCTGGCCCTTGCCACCCCCAACAGTGCTCTCACTTTGCGTCTGGTGACCCAATGACTCATAAGAGAAAGCCAGCATCTGTCTTTGCGGAGAACCGACAATGGCGAAGGGAAGGAAGTCAGATAAATGCCCCCCCCCCACTCCCTAAAGCAAGTTGGGTTTGACAGACAAGCCACACGCAAACTGAAGGCCACTAAGATAGCCGTCCTGTCTGGGCCAATCAGCTAGTGTTAGCAGTGTGGGTGTTCCCCCAGTGAAAGCCATTAAATTGCAGAGAGGACACTAGTGTGTATGTTCAGTTTGTATGCTCCCGTTGTGTTCATTTTAGACTGAACAATCACTCTCTTATGCTTCTAAACTCCAGTGACAATGGAATTAGCAATATAATCTACCTCTGGGTCAGTAACATCGAACTAATCAATGAAAACACACACAATGTATACTTATTAAATTAGTCAGTCTTGTGCTTCGAAGCAATACAGGTGTTCAGGAAGTCGTCTGAAACTCCTGGAAGTAGGTCAGCTCTTTTTTTTTTGTCTCCAACATAGGTCAGATTTTTCATTTATTTGGCTGTTCACTCCTATCAGGTGTGCGGCTGTGTGATCCCTGCGGTTCACTATTAGCCGTAATATGGCCGAACCTGCTCCCCCGACTGGGCGAGAGCAGCACAGAGAATGAGGTTACGATTCAGGTCACGAGGTTACAGACACCTACATCTGCTGTATAGATGGAAACAGGATTGCCTGGTGTTTTTTGTTGTTTTTTTTTTATATGTATTCCTCCTGGGGATGGGTGACTTGGTCATTATTTAATTATCCTCAGCTTGCTGTGCCCATGCTCAGGATAAGCAGTGGCTCGCAGTGGGATATCAGTGAGCCATCGGTAGCTGTCCAGAGGGCAGGTCCACTCACAGATGCCTGTGAGCCCTATCGGTTCTCCCTGGTGGGAATAAAAAGCACAGTTAACAGCAGCCAAGAGGCAGAATCAATCTTCGATTTGAAAGGGACCAGAGGGATGGCAGAGGCGGGAGGGGGCGAGAGTGGCTGGGCTCCCCACAGGAGGAATTCCATTGGTGTTCGCGTTTGTTTGTCGGTGTAACAATGCAGCGCGCGGGGGCCCCTGGGCAGCGAATGTGGCCTCCCCCTTTGTCACCGCACATTCACCCCTCTGAGCGCCTGCTCGCAGAGCTGAGAGCCCGCTGCGCTCCGACGCAAATAACGGTTCGACTGCGGCTCAGATCCTGCGATGTAAAAGGTCCCACATGTCCTCGAAAGACACTGGCAATCTGACGTCTTTGGGAAGGGTGAAGAAGATCAGCTGGGGTCAATCTGACACGCGATCTATTATTACGCCAGATGTATCTGAATTAGAATGGGTCAAGTGCAGGAGAAACAGCACTATTGTAGTAAACAACAGTATAGCTAAAAGCATGCATACATTTTACTCCCCCATAGATGTAGGAGATTAATGAGGTCTGTCTGTTGTCTTCTTCTGTTTATCTTGTAGGTCAGCGAGCGTTAGCTGCTAACACCACGTCCACAAGGAAAATGGAGGATAATCTTTGATCACCACAATATGCTTTAGTAGAAACATCATGTTACTTCACGTCTGGACACTGGCGCTGTGTCTTGGCACTTTCCCTTCCGTGTCACCAACTGGGGCGCAGGTGACACGGTCCTCGTCCTCACCACAGGCAGATTCCAGGAGCCATGGAGGATCTTCAGACATGCAGAGGGACAGCTCATTTTGGTCCATCTGGGCACCGCCTGAGGATGTGATAGAGACCAAGACTTCCTCCTTCTTCTCACTGCCAGTTACTTTCCCCTTTGGCCTGTGGAGCTCCCAGACGCGATCGGAAGATGCCGATAAATCTACGGAGAATCCCAAAGCACAGACTTCCACTTCTGCACCGAGTGATGCAGTGTTAAAGCAAAGCGGAGGCTCATCCTTTGCATCAGCAACAGACACATCATGGAATGCGTCAATTACAACCCCGGACCCAATCACAGCAGGCCCGACTGAAGATACGAAACCATCAGCATCCATCTTCTCCTACAACACACTTCAGAGTAGCACCCAGGATGATGGAGCTGAGCTTTCCTGGCCAAAGAAGAGTTTAAGTAATGAGAATTTTCCCTCCCAAACACCAACTCGAGTACAAACGCAACCTGTCAAAAATAGTACTTCACACGTGTCGCTCTCTGAGAAAATAGGAACCACAGAGCCTCTTGATACGATAGCTACTCCATCTGGCCTAGATACAGCAATAGCTACTGACCAGGATGCCAAGAGAGCTCCAGGGACAGAATCAAAAATAAGCATCAGATTGTTGGGCGATGGAGCGAACGTAGCGGAAGATCGGACAGAATCAGGACCCTCCTCGGGGAGTCAAAAGTCTGAAAACGCAACAAGGTCGACTCCAACGCAGCGGGCAAGACCCAGCACACCTGCCAACGGTAAGGCAGACCACAAATCACAGTGCATTCATCTGCGGTGGTCTGTGGATTGGCATGCTGTTTGTTTGTTGACTGATGCTCAGTAAACCCTATGTCAATACAAATACAATCTATACCCAAGGCTGACATATGCACTTTGTGACATTGAGACGACTTGCGTGAGTTTGACCCTCCCGCCTGCACTCTCCCTCTTCTTTCCAATATTGGCTTCTATTTGTGCTGACATTCGGTGAACTGTGATCCTGCTGGACTTTGTAAAGAAGTCAACAGAACGGAATAATGTGTCCTTGGAAACACAGGGGTCAATAAAACCTGAGTAATATGTTCTCTTGCACTTTGTTACACTACAGTGCAGAAGCCATGGCGCTTATCCCAGGGCATTAGGCAGGGAACATCGGGGAAGGATGCCAGTCCAGCACAAGACACACACACAAGACACACACACAAACACCAATAGAGGGAACTAGATGGCTGAACTCCATTCTGGCTTAGGGAGAATTGGGGAAAGAAATGGATCCTCACCTTTATGCATTAAACCATCATATCAACAATCCATCCATTTTCTGTACCCACTTGTCCTGTTAAGGGTTGTGAGGGGTCCAGAGCCCATTATGGAGGCTACGGATGAAAAGCAGGGAATAACCCAGGGTGGGGTGCAGGGCATACTCACACACCATTCACAATTTGGTGACTCCAATTCACCTCAGTATGTTTTAGGGCTGTGGGCAGGGAGAACCAGAGTACCTAGAGGAAATCCCATGACGACATGGGGAGAACATGCAAACTCCATACACAGAGCCAAGGCAGAGACCTGAACGCTAGTGCGAGAGGTGTGAAGCAACAGTGCTGACCACTGCACCACTGTGCTACCTCCACCATGGTAACCTAAAATATATTTTCACAAGTGTGATGGACCAACATCGGACCCAGAATGTCCCCTTCCTCATTTCCTGTGCTTGCTTTTATATGCTTTAGGCTCAACATAACCAGGTTCTGGATTAGTATTTATGGAAGATGGGTGGGTGGATGGATGGATGGATGTTCAATCTATTTGTTTACTCGAACAGAAATTGATCTGAAATTTAAATGTAGATGTTTTTCACGGGTGTCATCTCTGTCTGTATCAAAACGACGTTGTAAGTTTCTAGTGATACTAAGATAGAAAACCCGTGCGGATGGAGTGTCTGAAAAGAATCTGCATTGTGATCGTTTTAAGTACATAAAACACAATCTCCATCTTGAGATCATCTTTACTGAACTAGTGAGAGACCCAAAGGCTATATAACGACACTATACCCTTCAGAAAGACTGATGTTTTTAATTATTAATTCATAAAGGGGGCGCGTCGTCGTGGACAGCCGCACCGCGATTGGCTGAGCCGAGGCTCTGAGTGGCGCGCGGCGAAACGGAGGCTGCCGAAGGGACCGGCCCTCGTGCCGCAGCGCGGATCAGTATTCCGCCAATGCGCGCCGCCGTTTTTATGCCGGCTCCCGCGGGAGCGCTCGGTACCCCGCTAGCGGGGGCCGGTGCGCCGCTCGCCGTCTGCACCCCGTCCGTCCTTCTCCTCGGTGAAGCCGTTTTCCAGCAGAAACGCGACGGCACGTGACTTGTGGCTGTTGTTTGCCCTCTCCGGCTAATCCGCCCCGGTTCCAGGGTCCATAAAACGCAACGCGTCTGACAGGCTACGCAGAGCCAAAAGCGACACATTCTAATACATTTAAAAGTCTCCCGACATTAAAGCCGTAAATACGTCTCAGTTATGTGGGCAGGGAGCTGTAAAAACTACAAATTTAAAGGAGAGCAGACCGTGGAAGTTTGTTTCATAACAAGCCTACAGAAGATTGGATTTCACATCGTTTAATTCTGTTGAAGATGTATTAAATACATGAAATATGTTAAATGTAGATATAGCTTTGTTCATACCCGTTCTCCCTAACAGAAAGACACGAATGCCTTGAAAAAACATGTATTTGCAAAGGGATTACTGCATGGGCACTGCCTGTCATTGTACAGCCAAACGATGTATCTGCACAGGCTTTGCAGTAGCGTTACTGCCTTGTTCAGAGGTGTAATTGGCCTGGTATGTGTGGCTTTCAGCACCAACGCCCCCTCCACAACACACACTTGGACAGAAACACTGGCTTCGATGGAAATTACGACCTAAATTGAATAGCACGCTGTAGCAAGGTTGTCAAGGTAACCCAACTCGTCATTCGACCAGCGGTGGTTACGGTTCAGCGTCGCTGAAAATATGCATGACGTTAGCCTAGTTAGGATAAAACCGCATAAAAACTGTAAGACAGTTGAATGAAGCACTGTTGAATACAAATCTGTCTCAGACCCACAAATATAGTACGACTGGGAGGGCTGACCCCTTCTTTTGACAGGGCACCCTAAATGCATCTTCTGCAAAAGCTTTTAACCGGGGGTTTATCTACGCTGCTTCTCCCATTTATCCACAGTTCCAGCCTCTCCTTATGCTGCCAGGGGTTCAGGCAGACCAACCACCATCGGTTTGCCTGTTATATATCAAGAAAAATATACGTAGCAATAAACTCAGTATTAAACAATGACTTTGAGTGGAATCTGTGGGGCTGTAGTGCAATAACAGGACAAGGTTCTGCAGTGCATCTTAAGATTCTCAGCATTAATTAAATCATTAAATCATTAGACAGGCTATGAGAATGACCCTTGACTAGATTGGCTATGGAACAGGCTGGGGTGGTGCGCAGGGATGGGTTGGCTTCTGTATTTATATGCTAAATTTACACTAACGATGGTGGCACTTAATCCGACACCCTGTTACTCATGCAGCGTGAAGAGCTCCACTCAATGAAACACTCAGCTCCAGGCGACTGCCGCAGAGGCTAACAGGAAGAGAGGCTGGTGTACCCTGGCCCCTGCGCCTTCCAGCACAGCGCTGAGCATGGCGAGGCTTGTGTGAGGGGAATTAGGATGGAGCGACACCAACGGGGCCTGGATTGTCCTGCTTGTCGTGGCCGTAGCCCATCCATATGATGTCGCTATTGCAGCTACACAAACATGGTAAAATGCGCTATTTGCTGCATCATAGGGAAATGACACCCACCCCGATGCAGAGCAGAGGTAGCTGTGCATTAGATGGTCAAGTCACCCCTGAAATGTTGTGGTCAGTGGGGACCATTTTCAGTCAGTTGGCTGTAGTTTAGTCAGTGTTTTGCTGGATACCCAGGATGCTCTCAATTGTTTATGATTTTATTGGCGTTGGTGCAGACACCTGTACTCTGAGCCAGCCAATCAGGAGGGAGGGGGGAGTGGCATCCTTATATACCTGCTGAGCAAATATGTGTGTGCTTCGTACTGATGATTTCATACTCCCAGCCGACATTTGCACAGAACCATACAACAAACAGGAGGCACTTGAACCGCTTTAACAGTGAAAGGTCTCCCTGCGCTTTGCTTGTGTGGATACTTTGGCTCTGTAAACACGACATCTCATGTACCCCAATGCAATGGATCTGTTAGCTGCTGTGGATAAGGGCATCTTGCCGATTGGTCTGGTCGGTGCCGGAAGCTAGGAGTGGGAATCAAACCCAGACTGAGCTCTCTGGGTGGTGGATAGCATGGCCGCACTCTGGCTTCCACGTGGGGGGAGGCCAGGACTAAAGTGGGGGGGGAAGGCTTCGGCCTGTAACTTTGCCGCAGTGCTGCTAATTTTTATTTACGAGAGTCTGGGGAGCAGATTTAAGAGAGGGAAGGACGTAGGAGGAGAATCATTAGTTAAACCAGTAGTCAGAAAAACAGGACATTCTGAAAAACAATTTAAAAAACCAGGCAGCGGATCGTGTTCATCAGTAATTGACAGAGGTGCGATAATTGCATCAAATCACCTGCACCCCCCCAACCCCTCCTCAGATGTTTCAAAAACTAAATAAATAGCAAGTGAGTAGCGTTAGCGGATCATAGCCTGCTAACCGGTTAGCGGATCATAGCTAGCTAGCCGGTTAGCGGAACAGTCCCCATTAGCATCTTCTAAACGAGCAAAGTGATTATTTAAATATTTGCTGTAGTGACTGTTTTTAGCCAACAGGGGGCCTTGTGCAAATATGTGGTTTGAGTGTTGGTAAACATCACAGCTATTCTGGACCAGTGGAGAGGGTATCTGCTTAGTAGTGATCACAAATTCAGATTAATGAAGTTTTACACATTTTAGAAACACCAAACCCTGTATTAGACACATTCACAGTATCCTTCCTCGCACCTGAACGATGAAGCTACAAGCAGTTCGTCGAGGTTTAGAGCGAGATTATGCTCCTAATATGTCAGGCAGCACTTAGATGTTGCACTACAATATAACAAGCAGCTCTGAATCACACACTGCTCCATGCCTGAGGCACTCAACAGGTGGTCAATACCCGTGTCCTGAAGTTTAGTTTAGGCCGTCACAACTTGGAAATGTTGAAATCGTTCCTCTGTGTTTGTCCAGTAACCGCGTCGTATCTTTTCTAGATAAGAACGCAAAGCCCTCACAATGCTTCCCTTGAGCCGGATTTGTGGTTGCCATGGAACCCAGCTGGTGGGGCTGATCCGTTTCGGGGCGTGCTCCGTTGTGTCAGGCCCCCTGGCAGCATGGGGGTGGCAGCATGGCGTTGCTATCGGGCCTCAGCAGGGAGAGACAGGACCGTGTTCGTTCCTGCGTAAAGTCGCCCACATTGTGCGTTGGCATCCGGGATGAAAGGGTGTTTTGTACCCCTTATGTCTCTCAGCGCAACGCAGCTATGAGCCTTCCTCCCTACGCATCTCTGCGTAATTAATCAACATGGCCGATTCCATAGCTACGCATGGCTGGAGACGGGTGAAGAAGATGAGAGAGATCCGTTTGACATAACTGGGTTAAAGCTGGGTTTTCGGGGGTCCGGCTTTCTGTGAACGCTGCTCTGAGCTGCCGCCTCCTTTTTTCCAGCCACCCCCAGGGAGGCAGAGGAAGAGGGGGTGGGGGCGGAGGTGGAGGAGGAGGAGCGGAGGATCCAGTGGACGGCCACCGTCACCTCCGTCACCACTCTGGGTCCACTGGATTCAGGTGGGTATTAAAAAAAACAAACAAGATCAAGAGGGATAACTGGAAAAATATTTTTAAAAACATGATAGGTATTAAAATCAGAACAAGTTGTATTTAGATAAAAATAAACATAATCATAATGGTAGACTAGGTAGTCACCTACACAAGCAGCATAATAACCAAACATCAAACTGAGAACAATGATAGAAACTATCACAAGCAGAGTCATACCCTAATTAAAAGCCAAAAAGCAAACTATCAACTAAACTATCTGCTGTTTTTGTAGTCTGCTGAACATGCGAGAGAGTGATCCTTCCTAAACATGGTCACACGTCGTTTTCAAATGACCGCTTAATGAGTTTCTGTCTCTGAAGATACGGCTGCAGGGCTGCGTGAGTGAAGCGGAAGGAGAGCAGAGTAGGGAGGCGTTCTTCTGAAACGCGTTCAGGGACTCCGGTATCCATCTGACGGTCAGGCGTCAGCCGGGCGCTCCTCTTAAGAGCTTGATGTTTTTGTCCATCCAGGGAGTGGTGAAAAGCACTTCCCTTTTCCTGTCCATTTGCCCCCCTCCCCATACACCCCCTGGGCTCACTGTTCAATTCCAATTGTCTGATTTCTACTTCAAAGATCTGCCAGTCTAGAGGGCGGGGGTAGCCCAGTCACTGTGAGCACACCCTGGGTGCCCCTCCCCTGAAGGCGGGGCCACATTTAGCCATGACCCTGTGCCAGGTCAGACCAGCAGACTTCTTATTGCTTTTGGCTGGCTGACGTTCCCTTTCAGTGCCCATAGTGCCAGATCTGTTTTGAATAATCAACGCCGCACCAGCTACCCAGCTGCCGCACAGCTTACAAGAGCAGTGTTCATTTCCATTGTTCCGTTCCTTCTTAAGTTTGCGAGACCTCCAGCAAACGTTGAGGGCTCCGTGATGTTCATGCAGCCTTCCATCATATTAACCCATGTTAGTGACCAGTACACGGCCCCCATAACAAAACAACAGTGTAAACCGTTTTCCCACCATTCTACAGCCAGATCCAGATTTTGCAGCCAGCTATAAAAACGCACAGTGTCATCTCAGTGCTACTACCCCTTGGTTTCATAAAATAACACACAAATACCCCTTTTTAAGCAGCTGCTTATGGGAGAAAAAATTACGATGAAACAGCTTGAGACAGCTAACAATTAGCACCTGTATTTACACAGCTTCATTATTAGACTATTTAAATAATAATTGATCAGTTCATTGGAAGTTCATATGCAGCTAGCTATTAGCTATCAGTGAGCAACGATAATGTGGTAAATTAGGCCAAATTAATCTTCTCGGAATGATGGCCATCAGTAACCATGTATTGCAAATGTAGATCCTGTTACCCAGTTGTGAATGCGGCATGCAAGATGGTTCCACCTTTAATCCACTAACCCACAACCCTTTTATAGTAAAACAGAAATAGCTGTGCTACTTAGATGAAAGCAGGACAGCATGTGAAGGTATTTTCAGGCGTAGTGAGACTGCTTAAGGTTACAGACAAAATGCGTGCAAAAAACCCTGCGTAACTCTATGAAGGTCACTTGAAGGACATCAGGTTTCGCCTCAGCTAAATAGCATTTTTGTGAATTCGTTCAGATCTGCACACCCTCGGCAGCCTCGTGCGATGTTTCCCGCTCAGAAAGTCAGGCTTTTGCTTGAGGGACTTCCCTCTGTAACCGGTGGATGTAGAAGCCGGCGGCTTGAGCGGCGATCGACGTCATCGCGTTTCACGGTCCTCGGTCGTACCCGGGGCTTGGAAGAACAGCGACGGGAGAGAGGGAAGTGCTGATAAAGAGACAGGTCCCTTCTCCACGGGAGCTGTGCGTTTGCGGATTCCTGCGCTGGGTCCTCGTGTGAGACTGAAAATAAACAGAAGCGTCGCTGTTTATTTTGCACAGTCTGGCGCCTCTGTGTAGGAAGCTGCTAACGCGACAAATAATGTGTTACACGTGTGAAACCGCTGCTCATCGACACTTAATTTACAAACGAGACTATGACTTCATAAAAGCTTTGCTTTTGTTGTTAGCGGAGTGATGTATTGTGGCCTCTCATTTAGGCTAAGATTTTGGCCCATCTCAGTGTATTAGTTTAGAAGTCTGTTTAGAACCTTTCGCTTTTCTGGAGAGAGAGAGTTGAATTGAAGGTTAAGGGGACAAAGCCGAAATAAATAAACCTTATTGAGTTTTAAAGAGTCTGGGAACTGTCTGCCAAAACCTTTCTAGCCAGAATTGGATGCAGTGCTAACTATACCGTAATGACCCATATTACTGACGATCTCGCTCTTCCCAGTGTATTGTTCGGGGGCTGTGGTCCATTTCCAATTCAGATCCGTGCCAAGACAACACCGCAACAAGACCCCGTTTCCCATAATGCCCTTGAGCAGGCAAATCCACGGTGGTAGATGGCCTAGACGCTGGCAGGGTCGAATCCAGGGCTCCTCTGTTTGCGATCGTCCCGGTCACAGTGTCACCTGCAGTAATGGAGTAGAGCTCCTGGAGTCTCTAAGGGATGTGAAAAAATATCTTGAGGAAGGACACCTTGCCTAAGTGAGCAGGATTTATCCTGCTGTGGGTCAGTAAATGTGTTTATCATATTCTCTCAAAACTACATTGCTGCTGCTGTTGTGAGATAACTAGGCATTAAAATAACCTCTCAGCATCAGGTTTTTACTCAACATAACACAAAAAAAAATGTCCCACTATCCGTGTAAAATGCCTTAATATGTCTCAGCTGGTAAAATGACTCATACGTGCAGGAATTTAGCAATTAGTGGCTTGTTAAAGCTCAATTCAAATTTTTGCAGACTGTGTTGAAAAGCTGGGTTTTCCAACCTGCTTTCTGAGAGAGAAAAGCAATCAGATTGAAGGGAGTGAAGTGTATTTCAGCAGGAATTTACAATGATGGGTAAAAGGCATTTTATTATAAAAGTCACACTGCGGATGAATGATAATAGGATAATTACCAATGCACGACACTCAGGATGATCGATACAGGAATCCTGTGTTGGTTAATGGCCAGAATCCCTCCAAATGACACAGTACAGTTTCAGTATTTGGAGGCACGGTGGCTTGCGGGTGGCACTGCGGCCTCACAAGTACGGGGCTGCCAGCTTGGTTTGCCCCCCCTGCAGGCATGATCTCCCCACATCATGCGGCTTTCATCCAATAGTCCAAAAACTGCCCCCTGCTCAGCACTGGATAAGCAGTTACGGAAAATGGAAAATACAAGTATTTAAATAAATAGCATCTTTTTAATTAAATGGAGTGACTCAGTGCTTGAAGTGGGGAAAAAGAGGTGCCGGTACTCCCCCTGTTATTCAGTACTAGATGCCGGTACTCCCCTTGTTTTTAAGTACCAGGTGGCGGTACTCCCCTTGTTATTCAGTACCAGGTGGCGGTACTCCCCTTGTTATTCAGTACCAGGTGGCGGTACTCCCCTTGTTACTCAGTACCAGGTGCCGGTACTCCCCCTGTTATATAGTACCAGGTGCCGGTACTCCCCTTGTTATTCAGTACTAGATGCCGGTACTCCCCTTGTTTTTAAGTACCAGGTGGTGGTACTCCCCTTGTTATTCAGTACCAGGTGCCGGTACTCCCCTTGTTTTTAAGTACCAGGTGCCGGTACTCCCCTTGTTTTTAAGTACCAGGTGCTGGTACTCCCCTTGTTATTCAGTACCAGGTGCCGGTACTCCCCCTGTTATTCAGTACCAGGTGCCTGTACTCCACTTGTTTTTAAGTACCAGGTGCCGGTACTCCCCTTGTTATTCAGTACCTGGTGCCTGTACTGCACTTGTTTTTAAGTACCAGGTGCCGTTACTCCCCTTGTTATTCAGTACCAGGTGCCGGTACTCCCCTTGTAATTCAGTACCAGGTGCCTGTACTCCACTTGTTTTTAAATACCAGGTACTGGTACTCCCCTTGTTATTCAGTACCAGGTGCCGGTACTCCCCTTGTAATTCAGTACCAGGTGCCTGTACTCCACTTGTTTTTAAATACCAGGTACTGGTACTCCCCTTGTTATTCAGTACCAGGTGCCGGTACTCCCCTTGTAATTCAGTACCAGGTGCCTGTACTCCACTTGTTTTTAAATACCAGGTACTGGTACTCCCCTTGTTATTCAGTACCAGGTGCCGGTACTCCC